GAGCGTCGCGTAATCTCGAGCTGCGCCCTAGTGAAATGGCGGGAGTTTTTGAATTGCGCAACGGTCACCGCGGGCGGCGATGTTACAGGAAACGGCGAGCGGTCGCTCCGTTTTCAGCACGTAAGTTATATACCGTGTACTTTACCGATAGCACGACCAGTTGCCCCACATTTTTTCTTTTCCCCCACTTTGGAAGCATCGGGAACATCTATTCCGCGGGCAAGTCTGAAAAGCGGCTACGGCGACTAGTCGTATAGAAGGCGGGTGGTCTCTCTATATATATATACATGTATATACCTACGTGTGTGTACAGTACGAAATTGGTGCTAAAAGCGGGTCGTGAACATACGAACCTTGGTGGAATGGTCCACACGTGGATCCGTGCTCGTTTCCGCTCCCTCTCACCCGAATTTCTCCCGAGAGTCATTATTCGAAACTCGGGGGTGGTATGTGTGTCCACCTGGTACTTTCTTTTTCAGTCTATCTTTCGCGCACGTCGACTACCAATCGGATCGAACAACGGGACGATATGTCGCCTTGTTTAAAATTAAACATAAACATATACACAGGGTAATACGAGAAAAAGGTTCATAAGTTTTAGGGTAGATAGTACTCGTCAAATGATGAAAAAACATTCTAGTAAACATGGGTCGGAAGATTAATATTTTTAAAGTTATAAACAATTGTTTGTTTCGGTTAAAGCGAGTAACCTTCTTGCTTCAGGGGTTATCGTACCGTATGGAATCAATGGAGGAAATTGTAAAAAAAATTAATAAAAACTCGAAAACCTTCTGTAACAAGGAGAAGAAGAAACGATAAGGTAATCAATTATTTTCATACAGTACGATAGCGAGAAAGTCATTCGCTTTAACCAAAAGAAAAAATTGTTTATAATATTGAAAATATTAATTTTTCGACCTATGCTTATCAGAACTTTTTTTATTAATCTGACTATCTACCCTAAAAGCTATGAACCCTTCTTTCGTATCACCCTGTATATAATGAAAATTTTCTTCTCTTTCTTGCGACGAGTCTCAAACTTTTTAGTAATTCTTCGCGATCGTTTACAACACCTGACTTTTGCCAATAAATGTCAACCGTGTGAATTAAAATCTGTGCAGATTTTCCTTACTTTTGATCACCGATGAAAATTACTCGGTATCCTTACACACCTAGATTACCCGGACACTATCTAGAAGCGTTGTTACAGTTCTAAGGAAAGAAAAAAAGAGAACAGTCGTTTGACTCAGCTGGATGCACATACAGACGAAACATCCTACGCGTAACAGTGATCTACGATCTACGGTTCTCTCACGTATGTACAAAAGTCTACCCCTATATCTAGTTTACGCAAGCGAGATGTGTCTGTCGATATGAATATTCAGGCGCAATTTTACTGAGCAGAGCGTAGAGCGCACGGTGCAGCAGGACACACACATACACACACGCTCTACTGTCGATCGGTTCGTGCTTCATCGTACGAGAACATTAAACAGGGACGTGTCTTCGAAATGAACTTTTTTTCGAAAATCGATCGAGATAAAATTTATCCATTTCTTCCGAAAACTCGAGACTCCTCGAAGTACAAAGTGATTAAGAAACAGCGAACGACGTTTAAAAATGTTTCGTGGCACGCTGATTTAAATATCCAATTGCAACAGAATCTAATTGAATCTAAGTATATGTACTGTTATCAACGAATTTTTTTTCTTGAAAAATGGAAACTAAGGAGAAATTAGAAACACTATCTGATGCCAAGAAAATCGTTCGTTCATATAGAAACTAACGAAAACAGAGCAAACTTATTTCCGAATACAGGAACAGAATATAAAAAAAAAATAAATCTTCCAAAGAACACAGTTACTTTTGAATCGCCCTCTATAGTTCCGCAGCAATTCCATTCCAAACTTTCTGTCCACAGAACAAATTTCTACATCAACAAGTCACTTGACAAAACTATTCCAATACGCACACTATTTATTGATCACCCTGTATTCGACTTCGAAAAAAAAAACAGGCTACTTACGTTCGATTTGCCGTACGAATATCATTCGCATTATGTAATCGAATCCGTCGAGAACGTGGGCCCAGAAATCACGAAAATCATTTCTGGGATAATTTCCACGCCAGATCAAGCCCTCGCGAACGTTACGTAACGGGTTGTCGAAAAGTTTCGTCCAACGAAATTTCACAAGCGATCGATGTCCTTTGAGAGGCGGGGGCATGGTTTTCGGGGAGTGGGAGGGGTGGAATCAGCAACTGTATTGCGACGTGCTCGCGATAAATCGATACGATCCCAGGAGAGATAGGCCCACTTGCCGTTTGCCAATCGAGTGTAATACGCGATTTAATGAACACAGTGAGAGGAAAGGAACGGGGACGACGTACACAGGGTGAGTCACCCAACGTTTGCACCTCAAATATCTTTGCTGTATATAAAAATACGTCAAATGTCCTAAGGACAAAGTTGAATGGTTCAATGGGGCTGACACGATATCCAAGAATTTTTGTTTTTATGTCTTCTTAGAGATATCCAGGTCAACTTTATTTTTTTAAATGAAATCACCATTTTTAAACACCTACAATGATAGTCCCTTGCATTAGGAATTCAGTGACTATAATTATTCAAGGTCATTCAAGGTCACAGAAAAGAGGGTGATTCCGTTTTAAAAAACGAAGGTGACCTTGATATCTCTAAAAAAATGACATAAAAACAAATTTGTTTGGCATCGTGTGAGCCCCATTGAACCATTCAAGATGGTCCTTAAAACATTTGACGTATTTTTATATACAACAAAGATATTTGAGGTGCAAACGTTAGGTGGCTCGCCCTACATGTATACACAGCTCTCTGTGTAAGCTCTCTAGCTTCAGCGGCAAAGCATTGCGGATACGGCATACGATCTATAGAAGCGTTCTCCAGGCGGCTGCGAGGCTCTACGCCCAGACGTGAGAACGGCACTCGACGAGAGGAAAGAAAACGGACACGCTGCAATTGTCTTATTCTCCCAGTTTTCTTTTCTCTTATTACGACCGTTGTTCCGTTCGGCCACGAGATTTGATTAAATTCCTTTCGTGAAGGATAATTAAAAAAAATGTCAATTTTTGTGCTTTTTTTTGTGTAGGAACGAAAACGAATATTCGGGCATCTTTGATAATTTTACGAATCGAATGAATTTCTTTGAGGAATAAATTAGGATGAAGGTTGTTTTTGATAGTGTACTTAAGTGAAAGTAGTCGGTATATGATCAGACACTGCAACTGTTGTATTCATTTATATCGTGTGAGGGGTCATGTACACAACAAGTAGAAGTGGTCATTCTATAGTCAAACGTGGCTCGATACTGGTATAACTGAACTAGCGAGCTCACTGTTATACAGTTTTATTTTATATTCTATATTTGTATATGAGATATATTAGACTGAACCAAAGGGAATGTAAATAGAAATATTATATTTGTGGTTAGATATGACTAGACTGTTAGAATCAGACAGAATGTAAGTGGATATATCCTATATACGGTCAGACATAAGTCTGTCGTATTCTTTTACATCCACTTACACTTCATCCCCTACATTTTAAGAAAAATATCTGTATACAAATAAAATTAAAAACACATTCCCTACATTTAAAAAAAGTATCTGAACAAATAAAGTTAAAAATACTTCGTAACGTACCTTGAAAAAAAATATGCACAAGAATAAAGTTGAAAACATTTCATTCCCTAGATTCTAAGACAAATATGTGCTCGACTAAAATTAATTCGCTGGATCATAGCAGTCAATTCAATTTACAGCTTCCACACATCACTAAAATTCGTATCATCGTTCCAACAAAATTTCTATCGACAGCAACGTGTCCAAATTTTCTCGTCAAGTGCCATGCACGCGAAAGCGTATATACGAATGCGTGTATACATTCCGGAAGCGAGCATTTGCGACCGACCGACTCGCCTCGATCCCGCTCGATCGCAGCGAGCCACGTCAGTCCCGGCCCCCGTTCGGGCCAGTCGCCATTACTCGTGACTTGGTGATATTTACCTGACAACCCCAATAAACAAAAAGTGCAATAAACTCGTCTCCCCGTACGTGCGTGTTCATCGTAACGCCGCGTGCGAATTCGAATATACAGGGTGAGTCACTTAACTAACCACCTAATTACTTATTATTTTTACCTAAATTTACATCACTTTGTTCTTCGCGGTATATACTACTACAGAAGTATTGTAGGCAGCAACAATATCGAATTATCGAACCGGAAATATATGTTTGTAAACATTAAACTATCAAGCAATAAGTAATTTTCGCGGTATTACTTTCTGACCCTATAAAGAGCGTGACCTAATTTCGGATGATATCCCTATTATGGAGGATTAACTGTTTTCCTATGATTTAAAAATATTGTATTTATAAAATAGCAAAATATAAAAAGAATGAATGTTCATTACATATAATATATATCTCGCTTTATATCAAACAACTTTCGTTTGGAACATTTTTTTATATAACAAATAGTTTATGAGTAAATTTAAGTGGTACACTTAAGTGACTCATCCTGTACAACACACGTGTCTAGAAGACAGACGACAATTTTTTTTCTTTTGCGAGGAAGCGGACAGGCGCGGTGCTGCACGCTTTTACGATCGTGTCGGTAAGACGTCAAGACACTCGCGGGGCCCAGAGCGTGTAGAATATGTATGTGACGTGGGAGTGAGCGTGTAATAGAATCGAGCAAGCGTTTTACGCGTAATGTACCCGGTGGTCAATGTTCTATGTGGCAATGTGCAAATGTGTGTGTTTGTTTGTGTTTGTTTGTGTTTGTTTGTGTTTGTTTGTGTCTCAGCGGTGAGGTATGGAAGCATGTGTGTCGTTGTTCTCTTGTCTGTGTGACCAGGTTGTGTATCGTTATGAATTTTAAGCAGAGAATATCAAGGTCACACGAGGATTAATTGTAATGTACGGTTGTAGTATCCTTGTCTGACTTTTAATCCAACGAATCACTTGTTTGGGTGAACCGAGCGTTTTCGTAATTCGAGTTGATTCGTCGAGTTGGCCGATAGAAGGTAAATTCGCGTGAGTAATAGCTATTTTTGCAAAAATTTCAATTGGATAAGCGTGATTCTGACTTCTCTGAACTGGAGAAGGATTTGGCAAAATTATTTTGAAAACAAAATTTTTAAATTGAATTGTAAAGAAAAAATACAGGACTCAGGACTTCTTCTTTTATATAAATAATAATATAAGCTAAGAAAATGAACAAACAATATTTATTATAAATCTCTAGATATCTAAGGCTATTAAGCCCCTATTAAATTCAAATGGTGGTCAGAGATTCGAAACGTTCAACTTCGCAAACCCGATGTCCCTATACGTATCAGTTCCTCTTGAACGGAGAACGCAACAATCCCGTGACGAGGCGTTGAAAGCCCGGAAGAAAAGCCACATCGGAATCGATCGAACACGCGCACGATGGAAACGTCGGAAGCGTGGTTGACGACTTATTATTAGAATCATCTAATTAATATCTCGGCCGTTCGGTATATCGACGTGTATGTGTGCCGTCCCGATACGAATCGAATCGAATCCGATGTGCACACGTGGCGTCGAGACCTCGTGAGAATCCGAGTGTCTCGTGTCGAACGGTGCTTTGTGTGTATAGAATGTGTATTTGTGTGTGTGTATGTGTGTCGCCAGCTTGGTGTTCAGTTGACGTGATCGACCGGATGCTAATGGCAATGGGGGTGGAGGGGTGGTGGAAGGGAGAAGAGAGAATCGTGTGACGGAGCCGGGTGTCAAAGCTTGGTGCGGTGTGTGGCACTTTCATCGTACGATCGAGGCTTATGGACAGTTTCGGATCGCGTATAATACGGCGTGCGTGTATTCTTGTATATATATATGTGTATATGCATGTATTCTTGTATATATATGTGTATATGCGTGTATTCATGTATGTATATATATGTGTATGCGTGTGTAATATGTATGTATAGGTTTTGCGGGTGTTATTACTTAGCGTGACGTAACGTCTTACTTCTTTTTTCTTTTTCTTCCGTCCAAAACCTCCCTGAAATTGGAGAAATGGAGAAACAGTCGTTACACACAGAAACAACACAGAATAGAGGGGGGGGGGTGGTGTGTGGTTTAGAGATTTTTCGGGAGCAGGAAATTTTTCAGGCGAGAGAAACAAGGTTCCTCCACTGGTTAATGTACAGTCACGGGACGGGTAAATAGGTGGTATGTAATACTGGAGAGCAGAGAGACTCGGAGGATCGATTCGAAAAGCTTCAGAGAGAAGGGTACACGCTAGAGAAGATAGAGAAATAGAGGATGCCAGGAGAAACGTAGTGGGGGTGGGTTATACAGAAACGTTGAGATATGTATATATACACGTACTACCTATGTATATATATAGCGTTATATATAGATATATATGTATGTTAATATTGGGGTATATACGATACGGAGAATTTTCAAGCGAGAGGATCGCTGGATCAGGCAAGCTAGGGGGGAAAAAGGAGGATATGTCGAAGCGTATCCAGTTGATACCATCCCGACTTTCTTTCTCTCTCTCTCTCTCTCTCTCTCTCTCTCTCTCTCTCTCTCTCTATCTCTATCTCTTTTCTTGCTTGATCTTATTGCTACTGGATGGTAGTATCGAATAGAGGATGAAAGGAGATTCTCGTTAATTAATAACGAATACTACGGTCGGATATTAAATCGTGGTACGTGGTCTGATATCCTGTCTGAATAGTGCACGTTTTTACTACTGGTTCGAGAGGATGATCGGGATGTAATTGCGGTTACAGGACGTTATTTCAGGAAGGAATAGGTGTTACGTAATAGGAAACACAAAAGGGGGACAGAAAGCTACTGTACAAGAGAGAGCAGAGATGGGCAAAAGTTTCGAATAAAAGATCAAAAACAGTACCTCGTCATTTTTAATCGTTTAACCCTTTCATTCTCAAATTATTAAAAAATTACCAGAGAAATGGTTTATTGTATTTTTATGTATATTACACGACCTATAAATGATTCACATGAACATTTTAATTTAATTTCGTGCTCAATTGAACCACCCCGTTCTATCACATCCACGCGAAATACCAACACCATTGCTAGACAATTAGTGTTCCTTGATTACAATGTTCATACTATACATAACTAGTAGTGCAACTCCTTGAGTATGCAGACGTACGTGCGTAAGGATCGTTTTGCTGTACAACGGAGAGCATAGAGAGACACACACACAGAGAGAGAGAGAGAGAGAGAGAGAGAGAGAGAGAGAGAGGACGTGGACACAGAGGTACGTATTAACGTATAGAAACAGGCACAGATAGTGACACTGCAGACATCGAGCTCGTACGCGAACATATCTTTGGTAACACAAAATAGAAAAACAATACATTACTTGACGACAGTTGTGTTGTATGTAATATAGATAGATAGATAGATAGATAGATGTAGACAGAAGTCGTCGATAGGATAGGCAAAGTATCTTTCACTACGTTCAGCAATAAATCAAGCAAACAATCAACGCGACGGGTAGCGACAATCGGTTTCTTACAAAGAAGGGTTGATGGGGTGATAGTGAGAGGGGTGGTTTAGGGTTTAAACACCGCAGCTTGACGTATCAATCATATATGATCAGTGAACATGAAGAAACAGATCTCGCAAAACGGCACTGCAGCTACAAAAAAAAAAAAACAATTACGGGGTATTAAAAAAAAAAAGATATATATATATATAGTAAACGTCCATCGAGCGTCACGGACAACACCGTGAACAAAAAAAAACCGTGTACTTAACACCGATCAATTCGATCCCAGCATCTTGAATCCTATAAGATTGTCTAGAATTTATGAAAATTTCGATTCTTTTATATGAATCGAAGATGTATGGCGATTCGATAGATTAGTCGAGAAAACATTGATCGGTGATTAAGTGCACTGGTCACAACCAGTGGAAACATTTGTAACGCACTGTAATTAGCGATGCTGCGTACGTTCGATGACTCTGCTAATATGGTATCTGGAAAATCGGAACAACCTGTGTATGGGTGCGCCGTTGTTATAACACGGGCCCAACCACCGTTTTCATACGTCACGACGGAATCGTCGGGTGTGTCTTCTCGGGGACATCCGTTTACGCCGGGCACGCGTGTGCATTCGTCCGGGGTTGGGTTGTGACTCGAGAGAAAAAGGGTTTTACTTGAAACTGCCGCCCATTGTGTTTATCGTTAATCGTCGGAAAATCGAGATTCTCGGTTCTGTTACAGTGTCAACGGGGTAGTCGCGGGTTTTTTTTTCGTTTTGGTATGCGCGTTATAGGAAGTATGGTTGTAGGGGAAGATTGAGTGGATGCTGAAAAACGAATGTGAGATGTTAATCGACGAAATCGATCCGTGCGCGATTGAAGGTACAGAAACTTATCGCGAAGTTGGGTTGGAATTAGGATTTCAATTACGATTCAAACTATCGTAGAAGATTGAATCTAGGTTTTCGATCCGAGGTTAGATTCGAATAACAGATTCTGATTCTGATCTGTTATTCAATTCGAATTTCGTGCTCGAATTCAAATTCAGGTTCTAATTCGAACCTAAATTCAATTTCGTATTAGAATTCAAATTCGGGTACTAATTAGGCTCTAGGCTCAATTTCGTGTTCGAATTGACATTCAATTTATAATTCTAATTTAGGTTCAATTTGGTATTCAAATTCAAGATCTAATAAAGACGATTCTAAATTGAATTCCCAGTTCGAATTCAGTCTTCAGTATCGACTTCCATATCACGTTCCAATTTAAATTTAAACTTGACTAGACAAACGGGTTTCAATTCGAGAAAATGACAAAGAACCCAACCAACGAATGGTAAATTTTCCAATTTCCCAATCAAGAAAAGAACCAATTGACCGAACAGATGTCTTTCGTCGATTGAACTGTAAAATTCGAAAAGAACAACGAAAAAAATCGACTGGTAAAAAGAAAAGAAAAATGATCCTACTGGTCAGAATCGTTTCTGGCCGTTCTATTGTATGGATGAAAAACAATACGCCCGCGTTCCTACCTCGCCTTCCGCTCTCTTCTTCTCGAGCTCCTTCTGCTTGGCATGTTCTTCGGCAATGCGAGCCTCGATCGCTGCCAGGGACTCCCGCGTGAACGGACGGAACAAACTTCTTTCTTCCTCTGATACAGAGTCAGGATCTTCGGACATTGTCTAAGCTGCACACAGCTGAGCCACCTTCCTAAACAATTCGAAATATACCAGGTTATAAAATCGCAATGCTACTAAATTAATTTAAACATTAGATGTACCGATAAGTAGTCTGTTATTTTGTCAAATTATAAGGCAATAGATTTTAAATTAAAAGTATTTTCTGAATCTTTTACTGAGTACAAATGGTGAAGGATGTTGAAATATCATTATTAGATTACGGATGTTTATGCATTTATCGTATCTTCTAGTTTGCAAAGCATAGTAAAATAATGATTTAAATAAATTACCATGCCACTTATGTATTATTATTAACATTTTCACGTCTCTAGTACAGGAAATAAAATTCTGTCCACGTTTAATTTTTATATACTAGTATCTAAAATTTGTAATTTCTTAAACTTCCGCAGTCTGATTATTATGAATATAAGTGGAACAGCATAGATCCTTGATTTCCATATAAACTAATTCTGATTTCGTCAATAAGTAGTGAATGATTTATTAGTACACCTAATATTTTATGCTAGAGCGTGCACAATCCCATTCGTAATCATTAGAATACACTTATCGAATGTCAAGGGAAATGATTCTATTTTAATTCAATCGCTCAAATATCGTAATTCTGTTCAATGAGCATGACAGACTTGTAACTACCATATACCGTACTTTCCAGTCGATATTGCGTCCATTATTTCGTACGTGGAATAATTGTTTATATTTTCCGTTAGACAACGAGTATACAGACCGAAATCATGCGACATCTAAAGTTCATCTTGAATAAGTGAAGCACTCCGGAAATAGACATAATGTCTAGTTCCTGAGGACGCTTTTAAGCGGAACTAGAAACCGCATAAACTATGCATGAGATTTATCGAACAGTCAACTTTCTAGCTGATACAATGGCCTCAGAACGGTGGTTCCAGGGGGGCTCTCGTGGCCACGAATCTATTAAATACAGCTGTTTCGCTCTCCTATTGTGCATAATAAAACGACACAAACAAGCGTCGATACGAATTAGTGAGCAAAGGAATCGATACTTATCGTAAATACAAGATCGGCTTACAATGAAATAAACCGAGAATAAATCAAAATATTCGAAATGAAACAAAACGAAAAAATTGTCGTAGGTACACTAACTTCTCTATTAATACTAAATTATCTTACAGTGAAATAAATCGAAGATTTCTTGTCAATAGGGACCACTATGATAAAACGAAAAAATTGTCATAGTTTCACTAAGTTCTCGAAATTCAATTTCTCGTAAAAAGATAAAGCTTTTTTTAGGATACAAAGAAATTTAGTCAAACAACAGGCAACAATTTCGGAATGTCAGTCAAGTGTAAAACTGTAACTCGTTAAAGTCCAAGGTTCAATTACCCCTCAGACGAATTCTGCGTCAAGCATCCGGAGCTATTAAATGCGACAACAGATCGCAATACCTCTCGACTCGAATAGTATCGAATTCTGTGAGCACGCTATCGAATATTACACTTGTCTGTTCTGTACACAGGATGGCTGAGGTTCAAATAACAAATGAAACTTCGACTGCAAAGCTACTTCAACTTTCGTCGATTCATCTATTATCAATTTAAAGAACGTAAACTAAAGGACCGTGGAATATCTACGTTATTTTCAGCGATACGAAAAATGTTTATTTACGGAAGTTTTACGGTACTTAGAGGGCCATAACAAGTTAATAATAGTTTTATTGTGGGTGGAGGGTTTTCACAGATTTTAAAGTCACCTCCTACTATCTGAAATGTTACGTTGTACTTTTTTATCTTTAGTAAAATAGCGGATGTTTAGAGGATTTCAATGATCTATGGTACAAGGTCATTCGAAAGGACGAGATGTTCCAAGTGATTAGAACACTGTAATCGTCGAACTGCGGAAACTCGTGCATTTTTTATCACTTCCGGATTGATGATAGCACACGCTGCAACGATGCTTTGCTTCATATCTTGTGACATTGTCGGTTTTTCCTGGTATATATAATTTTAGTACATCAACTGACAACGCCAGATGACACGAAGCGAAAAATCGTTGCAGTATACGCCATAAAGAATCCGGAAATGATAACAAGTGAACGAGTTCCCGTAGTTCGACGATTGCAATGTTCTGTAAATGCAAACGAACACCAATTCGAACATATCCTTCCAAAAAAAAACTCGATCTTTTGATCCATTGGTATGACACACTCGAATATTTAAAAAAAGGTGCAAAAATAGTAAACGTACCAATCGAATGGTGTAGCCACGGTTAAGAATACTTCACTGAATAAATGCACGCAAAACACTATCGCGATCCACCCGAGTACAGACAACTAATAACGAAGCTACGTTTACACTCGCTTTATATATCTTCTTAATATCTTATCATCTTAACATTCATAAATATTAGAACGTACATGGTCTGTACGAAGAAAATGTAATGTTTCGTAAAAATTCTACATTTCAAGTGCACGTTTATTACTACGTAATAGTGTAATCGTTGTCCCATCGAGCTTCGGTATCCCGTAAACAATATTTCTTTCGGGCTTCCAACGATTTCGTAAAATTTCGTGCAACATTTACAGTAGTTGTCAGGATATAGCGCGGTCGTAAAATCGACCAACCGGAAACGAACACACGTTTGGAGCTGTGGGACATCCATTTCAGAGATCGAAGGGGAGATAAGACGCTCGAGAGTGATGTTCGGCGCCCACAATGTCGGATTCAAATCCGAAATATGTACATCTGACGTTTTTATTGTTGACAATAGCCTTTCGAATATTCGGAATATTAAATAGAATTTACAGTTACCTTTGTGGTAAATAAACTACACTGCTTGGCGTAACTATAAAAAAGCGAGCTCTTTCTCTCAAATTATATTATATCGATTTATATTTCGATATTATGAGCGGATTTTTATGCAAAATCACATTTTCTAATGTAATTTATAAAGACAGAAGCAAAGAAATTTATTTTTTCTTTTCAGTATCTCATTGGGTTCAAAAATAGAAAAAATAGAAAATCTAAATAGAAAATTCAAACTAAAATAGAAACATCATTGTATCCGATGAAAATTTTGTAAATGCATAACAATCCGCAGTTTAATGATTAAAAATAGGGATATTGATCTACTCGTGGATCGGTTCATGGTACTCACTTTTGATCGGTGCTAACAGTTTCTGAAGTGTAATGTGCGCGTGTCCCACGATGCGGTGTGGTTATAGAGTGGCTGCTGCTGCGGCGGCTGCGGCTGCGGTGGCTGGCGAGGACGATACCGGCGCTGGGAACCGCGCGACTTGCCGGCTACGGGCCGGTGCCTGGTCGTCGATTCGGGACGCGTCGTGCCGTCGATGCGATCTGACGACGCCGTTACGTACGATCGGACGGATAAATACGTCGCCTCGTGCAGCAGCACGCCGACTGCCGATCCACCGATCCCCCTGGTCACCCTCTTATTCTCGATCGTCGTGGCGCGTTCGTTCGCGCGAATACCTCCGCCAATGCTACCGATACCGTTGCTGTCGCTGCCGCTACCGTTACTTCGAACGTTGCTTCCTCTGCGTTTAATGCTGTCACGGCTTCCGTTGCTGCGGTTGCGGCTGGGGCGGCTGCTACCTGAATCCCGTTCCGACGAAATGGCGACGAGAAATGACGAACGCGCTGCGGCAGTGCGTGCTATGTCGGGGACCGTCCAACGCGAACCAAGATTTTTCATGTCCGACCTGGAAGCAGAGCAACGTGGCGAGGGGATACGGACATAAAATGTGGCGAATGTTTGGTAAATAATCCACTATGCTTCTAAAGTATAAAACGGTGTGTTATAAATTGAAAATATCTTGGCATTGCTCCTAGGAAACATGGATTAAAGGATGCTGGAAAGTCAAATATAATTAAAATAGTATAGAGCCGTGACTCCAGAGAAGCAGATTGTGTCGAGGGATGGTGGATTATTTATTGGTACAGATAATACTTTGTTCAAACGATTTATAATAATAACTAGCTGTTCATGAGGTTCTTGACAGTTTTTGTCTGTACTTTCTTTATCTTTCACGTATAAAAATTTTTTTCCAGTTCTAGAAAGAAACCACGACTGTTCCAATTTTTGTAACGTAAAGAGAACAATCTAATTTATAATAAATTAAATTGTATAAAATTGCCTGACGTTTACCCTTTAATTCCAAGTTCTCAGTTGATTACCAGTCAAATATTCAACTGGAACTAACGACAAAAAAGTGAACACGCCGATTGTTCGCGACTACCAGTACATCGTCGTTCTCTGTCGATTAAAAAAGAATAGGGCTTCCCCAGGGCTAGATGAATACAGAGCACTAGAGAGAAATCAGCCGATCGGATTTCTTAAATGGGGATTAGAATCAGGATCTCTCGTTTCCTGCGCGATTGTCCCACAAATCGAACTATCTAGGTCATCAACGGATTCTCTTCCCTCCTTAAGCCAGGCGCCCTCGAAAAATGGCCACCCCCCGTCTAAGAACCCTTTAAATCTGTTCCATTCACCGGCAAAGACCAAAGTCAAGAATTCCCGTCCTATATAACGGCAAGAACGTGATAAAAATACGTTTACAATCGTGAAACACTCGACGATTTATCGAAACCGTTCGATATTAATACTCACGTGTGAATGAAGCGACGGGTGCGATCAATCCGTTATCCGAAATAACATAGTCTGATTCCCAAGTCGATCGATATTTATCTAAAACAGCAAGAAAACGAGAACCACATGAGTCATATGGAGAATAATATTCCTCAGGCTTGTGCTTACATAAGTCACAGAGGCAAACATATTTAAGGCGGTACACTGAGGCGTTTAAAAATAAATAAAGTTTGGGAATTTGTTTATTCATAGATATAGTTATTAAATGAAATCTTTCGAGTTATCGGAGGATATGGGAAAATAAATCTGAAAGCTACATTTATATCCACCGAAAACTCGAAAATTTTTATTACAGTAACTACTAAATTGCAAATGTTTATGCATTTATAGCGTTCCCTGACTTGCAAAATGTAGCAGAATAATGATTATAGTAAAATTTATTAGTACCTACATATTTTTACGAATGTATTAAAACCTCTGGTACAGGAAAAAATATTCTGTTCAATTTTGTTTTTCATGTATCAGTATTAAAAATTGTAAATTACCCATGAACGAATATTCTTATAACTTTACCTATTTTTCAAGGCCTCAGGGTGGTACATCCCCTTAACCCCTTGCCTCACGATTTCCTTCATACCTAGTCCCCAAAACTACTTTACAGAAATGAAATTAAATCTGTACTCATAGCAACTCTTCATCTACTCTGAAAGTTAAACATCAATACCAGCAAAATAATATTTCACTTCGACTCGAAGAGAAAATTCAATAATATTCACCCTTAGCGATCGTATTTACCTCAGACATGGGTAATCCGATGACTGAGAGTAGACATACGATCGCAAAGGGTTAATGTTTATTCAGTCTCATATTAAAATCAACACCACGAGTCCTTGATGTTACATGGCAAAGGATTAAACGAGGATACACGAGCAGACCAACAGAATCCCCACTGCCAGCGGCGTTTTCTTCTTTATTTCATGTTTTGGAAGGTGATATGCCGGGTGGACCACCATTTAAAACATCATTTTAATTAAGGTAAATGATATTTTTTTAATGTTTCTTTGGTTTAGAAGAAAGACAAATTATTTCTTATGATGCTTGCCGAATTCGTCTCAATATCGGCTAAAAGGTGGACGTAAAAAAGTTATAGGTTCTTCTATAAAAAACTGAAGGTGACTTTAAAAAGTCTGGAAAAAAAGAATTGACAAAAAACTTGGTGCAATCATCTTAAAGCTCTCCTTGAATCATGTTATACTAGGCAAAAAAATTTTCGATCGAGAAGCTAGCAGTAAAATCATCTAAACTGATCACGTTTCGTGGTCCAGCCTGTAAGATATTCTACTAACAACACCTTCGGTTAAAAAATTTTTCCATCACACAGTTCAGGCACTAATTTTTAAAATGTGCAGTATTTTCCTATAATATTACCCTATCCCATCCGTGGTAGAAGAAGAAAGGAAAAAAGGTTCAGAAGAAAGGGAAAAGGGTTGAGCAGGGGACCCTCCAGTTTCGTTTCCGTCGTGAGAGGGACCGCAGCGGCGTGTTCACGCATATCCACGACAGCAGAAATTCACTGGGAGCATGCACGATATACAGTTAGAGTCAAAAGTGAATATACACTTTGAAAGTATAAGATTCATTAAATTTATTTCTATGAATTTAGAACCCAACATTTCGCACAGATGCTTTGTTACATTTCGATCTGGTGACGGTGCAAAAGGACGTAACCGACTGAAAGTGTTTCTGTCGATCCCTGGACCATAAAAAAACTTAATCCTGGCCTGGATGCTACGGAAGTGTTACACGAAGCTCACGCCTTTCTAAGGTGTGTACGTAGTTTTGACTCTCACTGTACATGCACACAGAACCGCCGAGAAAGAGAAGGGTGTCGGTGGTCTTTGACCGAGTTTCGCGCGGTCGATCATATTCCGCCGGAACTCGGTCACGCGCTTATGCATCGGTGTCGTCGTCGTCGTCGCGGCGCCAACGGCGAACCCGCGCGCGCGCCCATACGCAGGGAGAGAAAGACCAGGAAAGTAAGAGTGAAGGGTTAGATGGGCAGGAAAACAGGGTTAGACGCAGGATCAGCCTGCAGCCGAGGATGAACGAACACGTTGATTTACACAAGTGTCGTGAATAGACCTACCGACGTTCATTGCAAAATTGTTAATAGAGAAACTGAACGCGAAGAAGCAATAGATATTTACCCCTTAACCCTTGTGTGGGCAACCAAAATATTTTTTATGGTTATTCAGCAATCGGAATACTACTATTCTGACAGATTAGATAAACATAGATAATTTTACTTTTATACTTTTTCGAAGCTTTTAGTTTTCCCTTCCTATAATATACTAAGTGTTAAATTGTGAAAGGAAATTTAGAAATAGGGTCTGGGTAAAAATGAATGAATTTTTGGGAATTTCTTGTGAAGAACTTATTCAATCAATCTCCTTGAAACTTTGGGATTCTTCATTGTACGATTAAACTGAATACAAAAAATGGAACGTACGTTTAGATGGAAGTTTGTATACGGGGTGGTCCACGAAAATGGTACAAGGAAAATCTCTGTTCTAGATACAATTGCAATAGGAAATGATCAATGGTTAAAGAAGACCTAGTCGTCGATAGGAATATCTCAAGTGCAAGAATCTGCAATATGCAGTTGCACTTGTGCACATAATCCGGACAGGTAATAGGATTACCATATTTAGATCAACGTATGTAAGTACTGCTCACTGTAGATCTGTTGCAATTCGAATATCAAAGTCTGGAATAAAATTCTTACGAGTAAAACATGTTCTGCAAACTTTCCTGCACACACGTGCTGTTGAATAGGACTCGACTAACGCGTCTGGTCATTACTGACCATTTCTATTTATCGTAAACGCTAATCAATACATGTCAGATCAATTGTCGAAGACGACTTCCTCGAACACGACACTTCAAAATTATCATTAAACCATATATTTTCTTCATTTATAACCTATAGGGGTCTATGAGATACAACAAAAGACAAAAACTTCACCAGATCCAACGAGTTTTCTATTTCATTCTGAGCCCAATAACATACTTAACCTCTTCAGGAACGAATTTATTAAGACCAGAAAGAACATTTTTTTTATTCTTCGGCTGTATTTAACTAAAATATATTTATAAATATTTACGACAATCAATTTGTAGAATATTCTTGTTTCTTAAGGTATTTCCTACTAAAAATTTAATTACAAATTCGGAATAATGCTTGAATGAAAGAAAAGTTACACGTACACATATGTGCCAGTAGGCCTCAGGAGATTAACAGAAAAAAACGAATTCCTATATTTGACCTCGTCTTTTACTTTAGAAACGGAAATTTTGCATAAAAATCCACAGTCTAGTTACCAATATTACGACCAGTAATGTGAACAAAAAAACCTCGAATAAACTGCTCTTCGATGAGAGAAAAAATGCTTATGGTCGACAGTGTCCTCAACATTCTCCAGAAGCACACTTCACAAATAATTGCTCCATAAAAACGAGCAGAATTTGTATTTCATAGTGGACAATGAATGTCAAACTGTCCACGGGACCCCAATCGTCTCGACAACGTCGAAAGTGCCAAGTTTAAGAGTCTCCACCGATGTTCGAAATCCCCCCACTCCAGGGGATGAGACGCGACATGCCCCTATAAGGAGGGAAATGTGCAACGAATATTCGAGGATACGACATAATTCGAACCGTTTATGGAATAGGATGAGGCTCGATTTAATTGCCTATTGCAGCTTTTGTCCTGCGGATATATGACTACAATAAAAACGGCACTCTGCCAACACGCAGGCTGGGGGAGAAAACGGGGTCAGGTATGTCTATGGTAAATTAGCCTTCATCGGGGAATCAACAAAAGCATTCGACGTTACAAGAGGCCTCCGTTAAAAGGACTAAGAACACGCTGTTTTTCTCTCTCTCTCTCTCTCTTCCTCTCTGCCTCTCTCTTGTTCGTTCGTCGACGAAATGAAGTTCGTTTTTCCGTGAGGACGCTCGAAAAAATACGATTAAAAATCTCCTGTCGCGCGGCGTTTGCGAATGTTGCGCTCGATAACGACGGAAAATATTAGCTGGATGACTTTCTGGCTAGACTCACTAGGGGGAATAACAGAATTTGTATATTACATGTGATGTAATAACGATAATTAATTTATTTTATTGTACACTGTACGAGACAGTTATAATATAATAATAATTTGTGCGAAATTATGTACTGTATTAAGGCTGTTATTAATAGACTATGGAAGTTTATGCAAATTCACAATTTTAGAGAGTCGTATGTAAAAATGGAACAGAATTTTGAATTTTGTACTAGAAGCTTTATTACGTTCATAATAACACATATATAGTATTAAACTTTATTTTGTACCAAAGATAAGGAAAGTTTAGACATAGGTAATATATAAGTATAGTTGTAATTTTAATATAAAAGGGATTTGAACCAGATAATTTGACGCAAATCGACAAGTGGAAAGTACAATCGACTAAGCATATGGTATCCTAAGTAGAATTTCAAGTAGAAAGATCGAGCAATTGTCAGACGCATTAATAAGTCTCACCGAAAGGGGCACGATTCGATGTTAATCTCAGAAAACTGTAGTTCGAATACTGTAGTTCCTTCAGAGTAGGCGCAGGCAGTGTATTCATCACCGACTACCGTATTATCGAACTTGTGCTACTTATTCGCTGTGTAAGGCACGGTTTCCATCGACTCCCGGAGCGTTACGGAAATATCGGGGGAGAAGACGGTCCAAAGGTCTTTTTCAAAGCTCGAATCACGGATCAATAAATAGTTCTGATGCATACAGTGGCCTGCAATACGAAACGAACGAATGATCTGTGTAACCTCGAGTACAGAAATATGCAAATTCGCGAAATGTTCCTGAAATAATTTAATACGAACATAAAGTTTAAAGATTAAAAGAAATAGATTTCTGTACTTCTACACTAGAAGTCAAAAATTTCGAATTATTTATCAATTTTTGGTAAAACTATATTCGCTCGATCCCAAGTCATAGATCCGTGAATGTTCGGAATTTTTAACTCTATTATTATAAACAGAATTATTAAAGTAT